GAAGAGAGAGACCAGAGTGAGACCAGAGAGAGACCAGAGACTAGTGCGAGACCAGTGAGAGAAGAAAGAGACCAGAGAGACCAAAGAGACTAGAGCGAGAGGAGTGAGACAGTGAGAGAACAGAGTTAGAAGAGAGAGACCAGAGTGAGAAGAGAGAACAGAGTGAGACCAGAGAGAGACCAGAGAGACTAAAAGGACCAAAGAGAAACCAGAGAGAAAAGAGAGATAACAAATAGAGAAGAGAGAGACTAGAGGGACCTGAGAAAGAGACTGGAGAGAGACAGGGTAGAGACCAGAGAGAAGAGAGAGACACAATAGAAACACGAGAGAGCAACCAGAGAGAGCAGAGAGAAAAGAGGGAGAAGGAAAAGATCAGAAAGAGACCAAAGAGAGAACCTCATAAGAATAATATGACAGATATGTGACACTAATCACCATCAGAAAATTCTCTTTTTAAACATGTCTTTCCTTTAAACCATCAAACCCAGTCCAATCCATATCCTCACGCGACCTTCTGCCGGCGCCCCGCGGAGACCAGCGCGTTATTGTTGGCATTGTGTGCGTTATAATCTTTAATATCTGGTCACGCCTGGCTGCAGCTGTTACCTCCGTGCCAGTGCCTCTGTGTGGCCATAATGCGCAGACAAAAGGCCACGGTGTGAGGGGGAATCCTCGCCAGAGAGAGAGGTGTCTGCTGCAAACGCTTTTTTACACTGCGCCCGACCGGACAGCTGGACCATGTGGATTAGAGAGGGTTGGTTAGTAGCACGGAGACGGACGCAAGCCTGTACAATAAAGAAGCAATCAAATAACGGCTTTGCGTGGCGTTTAAGTACATTACAGGACAATCGATGGCCGAGGAAAAACTGTTACTGGGTCTCAGGTGTGTGTGGGACGTACACATGATGTGGTCTCTCTCTCTCTCTCTCTCTCTGGTTTCTCTGTCTCTCTAGTCTCTTCCTGGTCTCTCTCCAGTCATTCATGTGGTCTCTTTTTGGTCTCTTTTTCTGGTCTCTCTCTAGTCTCTCTTTATGGTCTCTTCCTGGTCTTTCTCTGGTCTCTTACTGGTCTCTCTCTCTAGTCTTTCTTGTGGTCTATCTCTCTCTGGTCTCCCTCTACTCTCTCTCTCTGCGCTCCCTCTGCTCTCGCTCTGGTCTCGCTCTGGTCTCGCTCTGGTCTCGCTCTGGTCTCGCTCTGGTCTCGCTCTGGTCTCCCTCTGGTCTCGCTCTAGTCTCTCTCTGGTCTCTCTCTCTGGTCTCTCTCTCTCTCTGTGGAGTAACTCAGCCATATTAGAATCCACCAGAGCCTAAATAATCCAGCCCTCACACTTTAGCATCTGGTCCTGTGTGCTTTGTTGAATTACAATCGATCCTTTTGTTCTAATCTCAAACCTGAAGAAACGTAAACTGTTTTAATCAGTATTTTACAAACGGCTCAAACGTCTGGAGCGAGTTTCCGTCTGTTCATGCATCACGCTTCAGAGCAACATCAAAACAAACAGTAAAACACAGCGTGGCTTCGTAACAGCAGAGTCCACACTGTTGCACACAAACACACATCTCACTATGGACACACAAAAACGCACACATTTTACATTCTCAGGTTTCAGGGCAGAGCAGAGACAGCTTTATTCCAGTGTTGTAAGAACAAAGGTGGGAGTTTTTTCTCTATTTTCCTAATTTTTATTGTCTGGAAGCCACTCTAAAGTGGAGTCATGACAGAGAAGGATTTGATTCACATTTGCTGTTAAAGAACTAGAACAATATCACTTCTGTGATGCGTCTTGGCCTCCCGGTTTTGTGCAGTAGGTGTGCAGAGAGAGAACACAGAGTGACCCGAGAGAGACCAGAGAGAGAGGCCAGAGAGAGAGAGACCATAGAGAGAGAGCAGATATACAGTAGAGGCCAGAGAGAGAAAAGCGAGAGAGAGACCAGAGAGAGACAAGAAAGAGACCAAAGAGAGAGATAGCTGAGAGAGCAGAGAGAAAGACCAGAGAGAGACCATAATAGTTCATACTAACCACCATCAATGCTGCAAGTTAATAGTAATAATAGAAAATTGTGGCTGTAGATCCAGGACTCAGTATTCTGTATTTGATTGATTATTTATGGAACAGGTTTAGATGTGGGTACAATGGAAATAGTTATGATGGTCCTGATAGTCCGGGTCTCACTGGTCTCTTGATAGTCCAGGTCTCAGGGTCTCTTGATAGTCCGGGTCTCACTGGTCTCTTGATAGTCCTGGTCTTCAGCAGGTCACAAAGGTTACAGCAGAATTCAGTTCAGACAGAGGATACACAAACATGTTTTTCTAATTGCCCTTTCCACAAAATCAATAGTTTTGTTCAGAGAGAAGTAGATTTAGGTCAAACTTTCCACGTGTGAGTCGTCTGGGGATAATCTGAGCAGTCAGCGCTAATCTACGGATTATAATCCAAAGAACAATGGAGCGATCAGCAAAGATGACACGTCTCCTCAGCAGCCGACACATTACTAATGCAGAGGCAAAGGTTAACTGGTTAATCATCAGTAAGATTATCAAGGGACCAGTGACAATACTGCTGGGAGAGACCAACGACCAGAGAGCGACCAGAGCGACCAGAGAGACCAGAGAGAGACCAGAGAGACGCCAGAGAGACGCCAGAGAGACGCCAGAGAGAGGCCAGGGAGACAGACCAGAGAGAGAGAGACCAGGGAGGCCAGAAAGAGACCAGAGAGAGAGACCAGAGAGAGACCAGGGAGAGAGACCAGAGAGAGACCAGAGAGGCCAGAAAGAGACCAGAGGGACCAGCGAGAGACCCGAGAGAGAGACAAGAGAGAGACCAAAGAGAGACCAGAGACCAGAGAGAGACCAGAGAGAGGCTAGAGAGAAGCCAGAGAGAGAGACCAGAGAGAGACCAGAGAGAGACCAGAGAGAGACCAGAGAGAGACAATAACTATACCTTGATTAATCTTCTAATCTTCTGTCATATCCCTGTATAATGTAACTGTGTGAGTTTGAAACCTACTTGATCTTTAACATTTTGTATGTCAACCAAAGACAGCCCTGCATGAGACCAACACGCACTAGGGACAGAGAAGGACCAGAGAGAGATCAGAGAGACACTAGAGCAGGTATCTCCAACCTTTTTCACCCAGAGAGCTACTTTCCCGGGACGATAAAGAGAGAGAGGGCTACTCCATTAAACGGCCCTGGGAAAAATGTGGTGATATATTGGTGTGAACGAGGAGGCCAGAAAGTGACCGGAGAGACCAGAGAGAGAGACCAGAGAGCCCAGAAAGAGACCAGAGGGACCAGCGAGAGAGCAGACAGAGAGAAAAGAGAGACCAAAGAGAGACCAGAGAGAAGCCAGTGAGAGAGACCAGAGAGAGACCAGAGAGGCCAGAAAAAGACCGGAGAGACCAGAGAGAGACCAAGAGAGAGACCAGAGACCAGATAGACTTTTTCAAGAGAGAGACCAGAGACCAGATAGACTTTTTCAAGAGAGAGACCAGAGATACCAGGCCGTCCAGTGGGTTGAACCAGCATCAATTCAATTCAAATTATTTGTGTATAACCCTAATTCCCCTAGTTTTCTCAGAGGACTTTACAAAGGGGCAGATGACCAATGTTCATAAATGTCTAGTGCTACGATGGCATGTTATACCTCATTTTAAAGCTGGCGAATCATGTTTTATGACAGTCACAAAGTCACAACGATGAAAAGCAGTTTGTAGATGATAAACGTTTTTACACTCGATAAAGCAGAAGTTGTAATCTCACATGTGGAACCACGCGGAGCACAAACTAAGCCACGACCAGACCAGAACGCTGAAGTCGAAAAGACGCTTACACTGAAGAGCTGCAAAGTAAATGAACGATATTTGACAGAGGAAGACTCTAATCTTCTTTCTCTATGTCCAAAAACCTCCAGAAAAACCAGCGCAATTACCAAATGGAGCCAATAACAGACGCTTCCCGCTGGTCGTGGATTGGTTTGAAAACAAGGTAAAAGACAACAGCGTCTGAGGATAGATCGGATTAAGTGTGTAATCTGAAGTGGTCTATGTGATACAGGATCCCTGGGATTACGCAGGAGTGGGTATTGATTGATTGGTGCAGCAGGCGTCTCCATTAGAGAAAAGGTCTAAAGACTGGGGTCCAAAATGCACAGAAGGCAGAAGAAAGAGGCCAGAGGGAGACCAGAGAGAGGAGAGAGAGGAGACAGAGGGACTAGAGAGAGACCAGAGAGAGACAAGAAAGAGACCAGAGAGAGACAAGAAAGAGACCAGAGAGAAACCCCCAAAAAAGCAGAGAGAGAGAGAAACCAGAGCGAGAGACCAGAGAGAGACCTTAAGTGTGTAAACTGAAGTGGTTTATGTGATCTCTGGGATTACGCACGTGTGGGTATTGATTGATTGGAGCAGCAGGCGTCTCCATTAGAGAGAAGGTCTAAAGACTGGGGTTGGTCCAACATGCACAGAAGGCAGAAGTCATGAGGTAAAACTGAAACATAAGGACTATAGTTTGATTTCTGACATTTTCCTGATGGAAAACTAAGAAATATAGAAGGATTGGGAAATGTGGAAAGACTAGAGAAAGACAAGAGAGATTAGTGAGAGATCAGAAAAAACAAAGAGAGAGACCAGAGAGAGGCTAGAGAGAGACCAGAGAGACCAAAGAGAGAAACCAAAAAGAGAGACCAGAGAGAGGCCATAGACCAGAGAGAGGCCAGAGAAAGGCTAGAGAGAGACCGGAGAGAGACCAGAGAGAGACCAGAGATGATTGGTCTAAAATACACAGAAGTCATGAGATAAAACTGAAGCTTGGAAATGTGATGGCTGCAATCCCCAAATAAGAACCGCACAAACAGCGAGGGAGCAACCATCACAGGACTAGAAGCAGAGCAGAGAGAGACCCTAAAAAGACCAGAGAGAGACTAGAGAGACAGACCAGAAAGAGAGAGGCCTGAGAGAGACCAGGGAGACCAGTGATAGGAGAGGAGGTGGTCAGTGTTATACCTGTGTGAGTGTAGCATCTGTGGGGTAGACCACGTGAGCAGCTGTCGGGGTCTCGGCCTCAGGACAGTTCCGACAGCGAAGGAACGTGGTGACGGAGCCAGAACCAGGGCGCCACACCGCATTATAACCTGCAGGGGGCGACACCAGCAACTGAAGTCTACATACAAGTTTAACTCTGTGGAGGAGGCTCATGTGGATCTATCTGCTATCTCCTCCTGAAGGTCCTCCCATTACTTCTACTCTTCACAACCTCATATATTACAGATAAATGAAGTTGAGAGAACAGCTTTGAGACTCTGAAAATATGGACAGATATATGTGATACAGCAGCACAGAGACGATTTGTAAGAGACGGCCAGGACTTCTGCACCTCCTGGAGAGGGCCAGGGCCTGGACCTGGAGAGGACTTTTCTATGAAACAATAACTATACCTTGATTGATCTTCTAATCTTCTGTCACATCCCTGTATAATGTAACTGTGTGAGTTTGAAACCTACTTGATCTTTAACATTTTGTATGTCAACCAAAGACAGCCCTGCATGAGACCAACACGCACTAGGGACAGAGAAGGACCAGAGAGAGACCAGAGAGACACTAGAGCAGGTATCTCCAACCTTTTTCACCCAGAGAGCTACTTTCCCGGGACGATAAAGAGAGAGAGGGCTACTCCATTAAACGGCCCTGGGAAAAATGTGGTGATATATTGGTGTGAACGAGCCTGTAACTAGTTTGTTACTAGTGACAACGTAAGTGCATTTACAATAATAAATAATGATAATGATATATAATAATAATGATATATATAATAATATAATCTGAACTATTAAGTATATGATATGTTAATTTCAATTTCCTTTGGCGAGCTACCTGGAAGGGGATGGCGAGCTACTGGTGGCTCCACGACAGGTTGGAAACCCCTGGACTAGAGAGGGGGACCGAAGAGAGAAAGACCAGAAAGAGACAGACTAGAGAGAGAGAGACTAGCGAGAGGGAGATCAGAGAGAGAGAGACCAGCGCTGACTGCCCCAAATGCAAACAGGCCTCACCAGTGCAGGGGTCTTCTCTGAACGTCTGGAGTTCTGAGCAGAGACTACTCACAGCCGCTGGGCTCTGGACCCGCAGCAGATGCCACTCAAAGGGTTCACCTCCACCACCACCACCTCCTGCTCCTCTTCCTCCTCCTCCACATCCACAGAGAGGCAGCTCAGAGGGTCTGTGTTGCAGCAGCAGGGACACAGCTGCAGACTCACACACCTCTCTCTTCAAAACACCTGCAGGAAAACAGTCTGAGAACCAACTCTACACAACTTTAAAGTAGTAAGTAATGTTTATTTATATAGCGCATTTTACAGACCAAAGTCACCCAAAGCGCTTTACAATGTTCAGAGTTCAGATATTGTTCCAATCACTCCACACACGGTGATGACGAAAGCGAGTTGCCAAACACACTGGCGCATCAGCCCCCAATCAACACCATCCATTCACTCTCTCATTTACATTCATACCTATTGTGCATGTTTTTAGTGGGGTGCGTAACTTTCAGAACACAACAACAGAACTAAGAGAAATAATCCACTGTCACTTGTTCACGGCTCTAAAACAGTTGGATTTAATCAATAGTTGCTTTAATCAATAGAATTCTTCTCAAGAGATCAGAGAGAGGGACCAGAGAGACACCAGCGAGAGAGCAGAGAGAGAGAGACAAGAAAGATACCAAAGAGTGACAAGAGAAAGAAAACCGTTGGAACAGCCAGGAACTAGACATGGAGTTCTACCCTTGTAGTTTGAAAGTTACAATATAAATATTAATCTATTTAGAACCAAATATGAGTAGATCTTGTATGCGCACTCGTCATGTTGAAATACCATGTGCGTTCTGAAGCAGCTCTTTCCCACAGGACCGACAGCAGAGACCAGAGCAGCACAGACTCTGAGTGGCTCTCTGCAAAATACATTCAATTGTCACAACATTAGTCATCTGCATAAACTATCATTGTTTCCTCTCTCTCTAGTCTCTCTCAGGTCACCCTCTCTGGTCTCTCTCTCTCTGGTCTCTCTCTCTCTAGTTTCTCTCTGGTCTCTACTTGGTCTCTTTCTGGTCTTTCTCTCTCTGGTCTCTATTTGCTCTCTCGGGTCACACTCTCTGGTCTCTCTCTCTCTAGTCTCTCTCTGGCTCTAGTCTATCCTTAACTTATAAAAGTGTGATTAGTCCTCTCAGTTTAAGAAGGACTTAATCTTTATTTTGCTGCGACCCAGTTAAATGACAGACTGAAAAAAAGAGAGAAACCCTCACCTTTCTCCTGTTGGAGCTTTGTGTTCTGTTCCGTATTCTTCTCCTGCTCCGCTGTATCTTAATAACTACAGAACGAACTCAGATCAATCCAAACCATTAGAATAAACGCAGTCATCTTTGTACCTTTAGCTCTCTCTGGGCTCTTCTCATCGGAAGGACCCAAAATGGCCGCCGCGTGTGTCAGCAGAGGTCCAGTTTCCTTTGCTTCAGGCGTCACAATGTCATACACAGTGGACTGGGGGTAGGTAGAAGAGGGGGTTTCTCTCCTGATGTCTGTCCCCGCTTCGTGTGACTCTGTTTTGTGATTGGTTAATGTCTCGGAACTACTTCTCTGAGAGTCTGCTTTCATATTCTCACTTTGTTTCTGACTTGTCGCTCTCCTTTTGGTCCTTCTCGCTCGTGTTCTGACTCTCCCTACAGATTCTCCTGCAAAGTGAAAGAAAAACACTTAATTGTAATTCTCCTGATTTAATAAGACATTGGGTTGGTACAGTACGAGTTAGTTTTCTGTGTCGACAAGTCAACATGTTTGACCCTGTGTCAGCTTTTCACCACAGGGAAGACAGGAATGTGTCATAATAAAAGGGTCAAAACAAACTCAGTTTTCTGTCGTATCTGGTCCCAAACGCTGGTCTCTATTTTTCTTAGCTCTCTCTACTCTCTCCCTCTAAGCTTTCTCTACTTTCTCTCGTCTCCGTCTAGTCTCTCTCTGGTCCCACTTTACCAGCATACATTATCTACTTTTGAATTTGATGCAAACCTGACAATTAAACCAAATAAACTGTCTAAAATATACTTCCCATTTTCTATTCTTCTAAATTCAAATTCACCAAATCACCAGACTTCCTCTTGCTCCATATTTTGAAGTGTTGCCGCGGTAACGAGCGGAAGCAACGTCAGAATTAGGTTAATGGGAGAGGGCGAAGCCGGACCATTACTGTAATGTGACGAGCTCGTTAAGATCTATTCTCTACAGTCTCTCTAGTCCCTCCGCATTCTCTCTCTCTGGTCTCTCTCGATGGTCTATCTCCCCTGGCCTCTCTCTCTCATCTCTCCCGGTTCTCTTTCCATTCTCTCTCTCAGGCCTCTCTGGTCTCACTCATACAGTACATGATGTAGTTTTGTGCTTGATACAAACCCAACGAGTTAACAAGAGGAAGCACTGTCCAAATTAGGTTAATGGTTGAAGGCGAAGTTGAGCCATTACTGTAATGTGGCGAGCTCGTTAAGGTCTTTTAACACGGCTTCTAACGAGAGGGGGGGAGAGGGGAAGGGGGGGACGGGCTAATGACGGGGCACTCTGGGAACTCTCCAGTCAATCATACGGTCCGTAACGAGCTCCACATAATCAGCTGTTTTTATATTTTACTTCAAGACGAGAATCAAATAATCAACGTCCATCACACTCAGAGATCACCTTGTCCTGTGACCGTGAACTCTGGGATTTCATGTTTTATTGTTCCTCTCCCTGTTCTTTCCCTCTGGTCCCTCTGCCTCTGGTCTCTCTCTGACAGAGTAGAGTTGAAGTAGTAGTAGTAGTACACTGGACACTACACCCTGGACTCCTGGTCTCTCCCTCTCTGGTCGCTCAATCTGGTCTCTCCCTCTCTGGTCAGTCAATCTGGTCTCTCCCTCTCTGGTCTCTCTCTCTCTCTCTGGTCAGTCAATCTGGTCTCTCTCTGGTCAGTCAATCTGCTCTCTCCCGCTCTAGTCTCTCTCTGGTCGGTCAATCTGGTCTCTCCCTTTCTGGTCTTTTTCTCTGGCCCCTCTTTCACGCCCAGGTGTCCCTCTCACTCCAAGGTGTCCCTCTGGTCTCTCTCTCTCTCTGGTGTCTCTCTCACTATCAGATGTCCTCAGGTCTCTCTCCCTCTCTGGTCTCTATCCCTCTCAGGTGTCTCTTTCCTTGTCAGGTCTCCCTCTGGACTCCTGTAGACTAGTCCTCAGTCTGCCGCCTAGTTTCACCATTTTGAATGAAAGAAAAGTCATATTTCCAACAAAATCCCTCCCAGACACAACCCAAAACCCAACAAACAATAAAACAAATTATATTTAATAAAAAACACTCTGAGAAAACCACTTGATTACAACATTTTTCACAGATTAAAACCAAACAATAACATGTAGCTTCCTCATTAGCGCCACAGCATCAGGGGTCAGCGATCAGGTCATATTCTAAAGACACAGATATAACCACTTCTGTGTAAATGTACTGTTTCTGGCGCTAATGTCCCCAGATTGGACCGTTCCTCACTGTTTGCTAATGACACGTGTTTGAGGCCTGAGGCGGAAAAGACAAAAGACAAATGTCATTATGAACTGAAAAGAAAAGCTGCCAATTAGTGTGTACGGCCGTGGTGGTTTCATAAACTGTCTACAGATGGACAATGCTAACTCGCTAGCTCCATGAAGCCCAATAGGGAAGTGCTCAAGGAGAGAGAGAGAAAGAAAGAGAGACCTGGGAGAGAGAGACAAGAGACTAGAGAGAGACCAGAGACTGAGACAGACTAGAGAGAGACCATGGAGAGACCAGAGTTACAAATGAGAGACCAGTGAGAGAGACCAGATATGAGCCCTATCAAATTACCAATCATCAGGTTTTGTTTATGGGGTAAACTCCAGCTTGCTTTAGCAACCGTTATAGCAACACTGTTTTGGCATGAAACTAACGCCATCCTAAAGAATGCTCATATAAGAAAATTGGCTCCAGCTAGCTTATGTTCCAATAACATTAAAGCTAACACTGTGGTGACACTATGCTAAACCAACGTTTTTTTTAAACCCTAAATAGTCAGTGTAACACGAACGGTTACTGAGCTAGAGGAGTTTACTTTTATATTAGCACCTGAGCTTCATTGAGCGAGCATGTTAAATTTCCCATCTATATACAGGCTAAAGAAGTTAGCAGCACTTTGATTGGCAGATGGTCTTGTTCAGTACCTTCTCCACCCCTAACCCACAGTCTATGGGTTCCTTAAACATAATGAAGACAAAATAACTTTATTTCAGACCTGGCAGCTTCCCTCAGCCTCTCTCTCCCCTGTGCTTCCGTTACCTGCAGTCGTTGAGCTGCTTCTCTGCTTCCTTTCTCTCTCTCCCTGCATGGCCTCCTCCTTCTCCTTCTCTGGACTTCCCTCGCTCTCGTCTCCCTCAAACAGTTCTGGAGTGAAGAAGACTGTCTCGTCCTCTTCATCTGAAACTGGCACATCTTTCAGCTGTGTTTCGCTCTGGTTTAAACAGTCTTTACTTTCACTTTTGGCCGTGACTTCAGGTGTGTTTGAGTCCTGCTTTGAGTCTTTCTCCTTGAAGATGGGCCGTCTGTAGCTGGGGTTGACAGGGCTGGAGGTGAACATTGGGTAGACCTGCGGGAACTTGGGGACAGGGGCCAGAGTTTGTGGAGATGCAGACTTCAGATCTGGAAGACAAAGGTCAAAGTAATGTGCAATGAAGCAATCGTGACAACTCTGTCTTAAAATAGCATCATGGGAACCCTGGACCTGAGAGAGGCCAGAGACTAGAGAGAGACAAGAGATAAGGCAGGAGAAAAAGGCCAGAGAGAGACTAGAGACCAGGGAGAGACAACACAGAGAGAGAGACCAGAGAGAGAGCGAGGCAAGAGAAAGAGGCCAGAGAGACAACAGATAAAGAGAGAAGCGAGAGAAGCAAGAGAAGCGAGAGAAAGAGAGAGAGAGAAAAAAGAGAAGCCAGAAGGAAAAGAGACAGAGACCATAGAGCCAGATAATCAGCCCACAGAGTCAAACAGTGACTCTCAGGGCTTTTTCTGACACTAACATATTTTGTAATGAAAGCAGCATGTTGTGGTCTGTTTGAACCTGTTCCTCTCTGTGTGTTTAGTGAATCCTCGTCCACTTGTGTTAATGCTGCTCTTACCTCTCCTTCCACTGAGCTCATTTTGGGGAAAGCACAGTGTGGAGTGGTTTTATTATTACTGTACACTGCAAAAAGAACCAGCTGAAAAATCACTCAACCTGGTTTCTCTCTGTTGTCTCCCTCTCTGGTCTCTCTCTCTCTTTTTGTTATCTATTAGCAGTGGACCGATTTGAACAAAAGCCAATTTCCTTATATGGGCATTTGTTCCAGAGAGAAACTAGGAAGAGACCAGAGAAAGACCAGAGAGAGAGAGCAGAAAAAGACCAGAGAGAAACCAGAGATATATCAGAGAGAGAGACTAGAGAGATCAGAGAGAGGGACGAGAGAGCGACGAGAGAGCGACCAGACAGAGAGACCAGGGAGAGACCAGAGAGAGAAACCAGAGAGCAATATCAGAGAGAGATATCAGAGAGATCAAAAAGAGATCAAAAAGAGAGAAACTAGAGAGCGACCAGAGAGACCAGAGAGAGATATCAGAGAGACCAGAGAGAGACCAGAGTGAGACCAGAGAGAGACCAGAGTGACACCAGAGATAGACCAGTGAGAGAGACCAAAGAGACCAAGGAGCCGACAAAGATGTGTTAAGTTTTTTCTTTAATGTTGACTGTTTTGGGATTCACAGAAATTACCCCTCAACTCCGCCTACAATCTGACTTTTGTCCGTCGCCATAGTTACAGATGTCTGAGGTGGAATGTGGCAGCAGTGACTGAGCTCTTTTTGCAGTGCTCTCCCCCCCCTCCCCCATCTCCCCCCTCCTCCCCTCTCCGTCTTCTCAGCAGCAGCAGTGGTTTTTGTCTCATTACGCCGTTCGTTTAGCTGCTGCCTGAGTGGTGCTGAGCTGATGAGCAGATGTTGGACTGTTGCTTTTAATTAAGTCCTCTTGACCTTTGTTCCTGCTCCATTGGGCGGAAGCACAACCTCGGCTTTACGAATATTATTACCGCCGCGTTTTGCATACGGGAACGTCCCAGTGTAGGTCAACGTCGACGTGAGACATACCCCTGCAGGCGCTTGTGCTATAGACAGACAATCAGGCCTGCATTATTAATCTCAAGTCTATATGTTTTATGTTACCCAAACCCACTCTGCCAAAAAACACCTAAGTAAACGCTTAAAACCTAGACATCAGAAGCGTTTTTAAAGTATTTGGCTCTATCCATGAAGTGTCTTCCCTGTCCCTGGGGATTGGTGAGGAGTGTGAAGGGACAAAGTTAATCTCATCAAACTATGGTAACTATGGGAACAGTAAAAAAAATCAGATTACTTCCTGGAACTAAACACATAAAACCAATCTGTCACATGATAACTATGGTCTCATTGGCCGCTTTCTCTCTCTGTTCTCTCTCCCTTGCGCTCTCTGGTCTTGCTCTCTCTTCTCTCTACCTCTGTGGTCTCTCTACCTCTCTGGTCTCTCTCCCTCTCTGTGGTCTCTCTCTCTGTGGCCTTTCAGTCCTGGATCTAAAGCCTCAGTCCTGGGTCTACAGCCTCAGTCCTGGGTCTACAGCCTCAGTTCTGGGTCTACAGCCTCAGTTCTGGGTCTACCTTGGATGTGTGAGTTGTGCATCAGTGGTGGGGGGCTCCTCTGGATCAGGACGGGGCAATTGGACAGTGGGGTCCTGGGTTCTTTAGTCTCCTTCAATCCAGTGCTGCTGGGTGGAGACTGCAGAGCGGGACTGGGGCTGACACCGGTCTCAGTCCTGGATCTCTGCTCCTGGGAGAAGGTCACCAGAGACTGCATGGCATTTGGGAAGTTGTCATGGTGAAGGACGAGCTGACGGACCCACTTAGACAGACCTGAAAGAGGACGAGGAGGACACTCACGTAAGAAAATAAATAAGTCATAACCAGGACTCATTATTACATATTTAGAACATTGGAAATTGTATTGATCTGACAACAAACCCATAGACTGGATACAGATGGGTAATGCTTACATATCAGCTCAGTCCTGGGTCTACAGCCTCAGTCCCGGGTCTACAGCCTCAGTCCCGGGTCTACAGCCTCAGTCCCGGGTCTACAGCCTCAGTCCCGGGTCTACAGCCTCAGTCCAGGGTCTGCAGCCTCATTGACTTTATAATCAAATAATCTTAGTCACTGGTAATGTCTACAGTGTATATTTATATATTCAAATGGAAGATTCAATAATTCATGCTTTTATATAAATATATTTATAAATTGTAAATACTTCTACATTTGTTTGCACCATTTACCAAAGTAAAACCCTAGCTTGTGACTTCCTGTTACTTACACTTTGAATTGCCTTGTGTATGAATTGTGCTATATAAATAAACTTGCCTTGCCTACAATTGTATTGAAAATAATTCTGCTTGTTGTAATAGTTTAGTTTTCCCTGCAGATCAGTGGAGGACTAGTGCCCCCTGGTGTCTCACAACAGAAATGCATGCACTCAATGGTGTCATGTATTTTAAATAAACAGGCGTGTGTGTGTATCTTACTCTCTCTCTCCCTGTGTATTTAAACGGTCTATCTCTGTGTGTGTGTGTGTGTGTGTGTGTGTGTGTGTGTGTGTGTGTGTGTGTGTGTGTGTGTGTGTGTGTGTGTGTGTGTGTGTGTGTGTGTGTGTGTGTGTGTGTGTGTGTGTGTGTGTGTGTGTGTGTGTGTGTGTGTGTGTGTGTGTGTGTGTGTGTGTCTCTCACTGTCTCTCTCACTCTGTCCGTCCCTTTCTCTCTCACACACTCTCACTCTCTCTGTCTCTCTTTCTCTTTCTCTCTGTATTTAAACTGTGTGTATACTACACAAAGGTTAAAGGTCAGACCTGTGATGTACTTGTTGGGGTTGTTCCTGTAGCGGTCGTCCACCAGAACCAGAGCTCCCCAGTCGTTTTTGTGTCGGATGCATCTAGAAAAAGCACACAATATTTTAAAGTCTTAAAACCAAGTCAGATCCTGTCAGACCTCTGCAGCTAAGCAGGGCAGGGCCTGGTCAGTACTATGATAGAAGACCACTGTGATGGTTGTGGTTGTGTCCTTAGGCAAGACCACATTAGTACGAGTCTGGTATCACTGGTCTCCGTCTTTTATGGTCTCTCTCTAATCTTCCTGTCTGCTCTCTCACCCAGGTCTCTCTCCCTTTCTTTCTCTCAGGTTTTTCTCCCTTTGGTCTTTCTCTCTGGTCCTTCTCTCTCTGGTCTCCCTCTGTCTGATCACATAACAGTTGTTGACTCTGAGGTCCATGAGGCAGGTCCTCTCACCTGCCCAGAGCCTGGTTCAGAGCCCTGTAGGCCTGGATCTCATACCAGCGGTTCCCCGACAGAAGCCCCCGTGTCCTGCAGTGCTGGTCGTTATACTTCATTTTCAGCTCCACCTGAAACACAAGGATCTCTCAGCTCAGGGGTGATGTGTTCTGTGCGTTTGTGTGACAGCTGCAGAAATCCAGAAAAACTCATCTGTAAAAATATTTTAAAGGATGATTTACTGTGATGAATCTGGAGTCTGGCCACTCTCTTCGTCTATGGCCTCTCTCTCTCTCTCTCTGGCCTCTCTCACTCTCTCTCGGGCCTCTCTCACTCTCTCTCTAGCCTCTCTCTCTCTGGCCTCTCTCTCTCTCTGGCCTCTCTCTCTCTCTCTCTTTGGCCTCTCTCCCTCTCTCTCTCTCTCTCTCTGGCCTCTCTCTCTCTCTCTGGCCTCTCTCTCTCTCTCTCTTTGGCCTCTCTCCCTCTCTGGCCTCTCTCTCTCTCTGGCCTCTCTCTCTCTCTGGCCTCTCTCTCTCTCTGGCCTCTCTCTCTCTCTCTCTCTCTCTCTCTCTCTCTCTCTCTCTCTGGCCTCTCTCTCTCTCTCTGGCCTCTCTCTCTCTCTCTCTCTCTCTGGCCTCTCTCTCTCTCTCTGGCCTCTCTCACTATAAGCTCTATGATGTAAAATAGCTTTAACATGACTAAAAACTATAAATACGTATTTTTCACAAACATGTCCTCTACCACCTGCTTTAAAACGGCTAACACATGTTTACATCTGCCACATCTCACTTTGATGTGATTTGACATAATTTCTTGGTCTACAAAGCATTGACTGATGATTTTAGTTTGCCGTGACCTCCGCAGACTCCGCTGAAGCACACCTGTCTCTTAAATTCAAGTGACAAAAGTGCAAAATGTCAGCGCGGCGCGGGACGTGGGTGGTATTTGCCGAGAGTGAGTGGGCGCCACACATGGACGAGGCCTGGAGTGACGTTACCTGCTGCAGACTGATGAGCTTGGACAGGAGACGGACCAAGTCGCATGGGAGAGGAGGGGGAGACGACAGAGGGGAGAGGTGGAGAGGACGGCGTGATTATGACTATGAGAGTTTGTTAGTTTAGTTGGGAAGGAAGGACACATTTATGTAGCACGTTTTATACATGTGGGTCATCTCCGGGCTCTCTCTGGACTCTCTCCCGCTCTGGAATCTCTCCCGCTCTGGAATCTCTCCCGCTCTGCTCGCTCTGGAATCTCTCTCGCTCTGGAATCTCTCTCGCTCTGGAATCTCTCTCGCTCTGGAATCTCTCTCGCTCTGGACTCTCTCGCTCTGGACTCTCTTTGGACTCTCTTGGAATAAATGATCGACAAAATAGTTTAGAAAGTAATTATTTATTGATTAGACTTTGACCTGTGACTTTGACAATGAGCTTCTTTGCATTCCTACCACCTGGAAAATTCTGGCTTCAAACCCCTCCCGGTCTCTTCCTGGTCCCTGATGGTCCCTCCTGGTCCCCGTCTCCTGTGAGTGTCTCCTCAGACACTGATGTTCCCGTCATCAGGACGAGCACCTGAAGACCTCGGGCACAAACACATCGCTGTCAACAACCGTCAGAACGACAAGCGCCGCTGAACTTTTCACTTGTCAATTCTGGAAAAGGTTAGAGCGAGAAGCCGACGCAGCAGACGCCGCCTCCTCATGGCTCATCGCGGTCACTCCAGGTACCTACGATGACTTTGATTTTGTCTCACGTTCTGTGTCCAGATGACAAACCCATCAGTGTCTGAGGAGGGACATTCAGGACTCAAGAGCCATTAGGAACCAGGAGGAGACCAGGAGGAGACCAGAAGGGGAGTGACCTGGCAAGGTTTGGAGCCAGAATATTCCAGGTGGTAGAAATACAGAGGTCATTGTTCAGGTCAAACTCTAAACAATAAATAATTACTTTATAAATTATTTTGTCAATTAAGTATTACGAAAGAGTCCAGAGAGATCAGAGAACGAGAAAGAAAAAGAGAAAACAGAGCGAGATCAGAAAGAGATCAGAGAGAGCCTAGAGGGAGATGAGAAAGACCAGAGAGAGAGACCAGAGAGAAAGAACATTGAGACACCAGAAAGTGACCAGTGAGAGAGACCAAAGAGCGAGACCATAATGATGCATAATTATTATCAGTATAAATTAGCGCATAAAGACTAGGAACGCATAAAGAGAGAAATCATTGTCTTAAGACTCGCCCTGATCACATGAAGCCCATATGTTAGCTAACTTAGCTTGCACGACAGCCTGCGTAGCCGTACATTGGCTCATGTCTGTGCTGTTCCTGCGCGTCAAAGTCTGTCAGTTTGCGCTCTGACACATCTCTGCTCAAAAAGGCTGCATTTAAGTGACCGCACCCGACTGTCAGATCCACACCACGCATCAAACCAAGCACTAGAGATCTCTGTGACAGGATCAGTATGGCCCTCACAGCTCCAGGCAGAGACAAGAGAGAGACCAGAGAGAGAACAGAGAGAAGCCAGAGAGAGAGACCAGAGAAAGAGCAGAGAGAGAGCAGAGAGAGAGGCCAGAGAGAGAGCAGTGAGAGACCAGAGAAAGAGCAGAGAGAGAGGCCAGAGAGAGAGCAGTGAGAGACCAGAGAGAAAGCAGGGAGAGGCCAGAGAGAGAGGCCAGAGAGAGACCAGAGAGAGGTAAGAGACCTAGCTGTCAGCACCACGATGCGCGTCAAACCATGCGCTCACCAATCTCAGTGACAGGCACAGTATGTCCCTTGCAGCTTCAGGCAGGCGCACACACACACACACACACACACACACACACACACACACACACACACACACACACACACACACACCCAAACAAACATACACACACGTTCAAAAGGCTAGGGTGTATATCTTTCTAAGGACAGCTCGGGTTAGCTCCACCACACCAGATCTTTTGACATTTGAGCCGATTCTCCGGGAGCCGCCGGTTCCAGCGCGTTGGCGGAGACTTTAGCTACCAGCGAGTATTGGCTTTTTCACATGTGCACGCTGTCAGGTTGCATTGGCGCCTGACGCGGACGCTGAGTGCCGCAGATGGAGTGATTTAGATGAGAATGGCACAGGCGGCTGCGGGCGACTGGCCTTTGTGCCCAAACCCCGGCTCCGGAGTGGATTTTTGAACTGCGGCTGTGGCTCATGTTTTGGCAGCGGAGAGGTTCCACCAGTCACACATCCGCCCTCGTTAGCATAATGAGACTCTGAGGGACTGGCATTTGGGAATGTACGGAATGCAGTTCAGGAGACACAGATATCCAACACTAGGTCCTGTTCTTATAACAACAACAATAACAATAATATGACTTCCTGAACTTTTTAATTGTTGTTAGCTGTCTGCTGCACACTTTTGGACATGCATTCCAATGGGGTTTTACTGCAAATAAACTTAATCTGATTTTTTATTTGTGGGAGTCGGTGGAGAAGGTGCAGAGGTGGGTTCAATTCCCACCTCTGCACCTTCTCCACCGACTCCCACTGATGACTGCTGTCGTTGTGTCCTTGGGCAAGACACTTAACCCCACTTTGCCCAAAGCCCCCACTGAAAGATCAAGGCTATGCTCACACTCAGAGAGCAGCCGTCCTCCTGTGGACTCACCACCTGGAGAGGGTCAGTGAGGGGCTGGTGCTATGAGACTTGGGTGGCATCTCTGATTGCCACCCCCCTGACCCAGAAATGGATTAAAGGGTAGAAAATGGATGGATGGATGGATGGATGATTTTTTATTTGTGCAGCACTATTAAAAACAATGTTTGCAAAGTGCTGAAAACTCTTTGTGAAACAATACAGTCAATAAAGTCAGTAAGTGCCGAGTCCACAGTCTTGAAACCAATGCCCCGTTTCAGCCTACTCTACTCTACCCTCCCCTCCCCTAACCAGCAATGGATAAAGCGGAAGAACATGTATGGGTGCTTCTTGACATCAGAGTGCATATATCTAAAATCAACTCCAGGTCTGTGTGTCTATCATAAACACAAAGACGATAATTTAAAGGTAAATAGGAGGATTTTCCCAACTTTTAGGAAAGAACCGCCCTCTCCACTTTTTGAACACAACTCTCTGGTCTTATTGGACAAGCACGTATCACCAGAATGATTGACAGTTGGGAGGACCAATAGTCTTGATGACCCACCCGGAAGTAGAAAATCCTCCTATATACCTTAAGGCACCACTTGCATGAAAGCCAGATCCTGTCAGACATCTGAAGCTAAGCAAGGGCAGGGCCTGGTTAGTATTGTGATGGGAGACCTCTGGGAACACCAGGTGCCACAGTGGAGTGGCTGGGGCTGGAAAGTGCCATCTGTGGTTGTATCCTTAGGCAAGACACTTCACCCACATTAGAATGAGTCTGGTGTGTGTGTGTTAGGGCTGGGCGGTATAAACGGTATAAGCGGTAGACGGTATAAATTTGGCCCACGGTAGAGATTTTTGTTATACCGGCATATTGCGATACGTCATTATGTCATTAAATTGCGCAGGCTCTGACGCCAGCAGAGAGCACCAAAACAAACCGGCATTCAGCAGCATTAGCCTAGCACTATTAGCCTAGCACATTAGCCTAGCACTATTGGACACCACTGGAAACAACGAACAACAGCACGGCATTAACACCGTGTTTCTGTCTCTGTATTGTTGTCACAGCGGCCCCAGCAGAGGTAAATACACACACAGTAATCACAGTTTAAGAGTCTACCTTTTGGCCAATCGGTGTCAAAGGGGCGTAGGCTCGAAGCGCCAGCGTGAGCCGTGTCCGCAGCATCATCACAGCAGAAGTTTGGGAAAGTTTGCGTCAGATTCGGACCTCCGCGGTCAATATCTCACGAAAGCTACTTTGTTAAACAAAATTATTTGTGCCAAAATGATCATTTACATCAATTGTTCAAATCCAATGCGCTGTTTTAATGAACATAAAATCCATTGAATCATCCAGCGCAGAGAAAAGCGCTTAGGGAGCTTCAACAAATGGCAAGACCAGCTTTGTAAACAAACAGCTTTTACTGAAGTCATGCACCTGCACAAAACTCTCAGACACTATAAATAATGACCATGTCTAACTCCTACAGACTTTGATTTCAACATTTGTGAGTTTTTTATATTTTAAATGAATGCATATGTTTTTCTTTTTAAAAATTGCTTTTACAGTGAATGGTATTTACTGTAACATACATAAATAATGTATGTTATTTGTCTCTTTATTCGTCTCACAACTGATTTTCTAACTCAAAAAATATATATTAGATTCTAATATATAAATAATTAACAATCTTGACTATTTTATGCAAGAACCTGCTAGACCTATATTGAAATTCACACACCAAATTATACCGCGATATATACCGTCTACCGTCTATGACCCAAATTATACCGCGATATGAATTTTAGGCCATATCGCCCACCCCTAGTGTGTGTGAATGGTTGGTGGTGGTGGGGGGGGCTGATGGTAAAGACTGGTTGCCTCGCTTCTCTCAGTGTGCCCCAGGGCAGCTTTGGCTAAGCTAGTAATTTATCACCACCGTGTTTGGAGTGAAAGAATATTGACATTTATGTGAAGCGTCTACGAGAAAATACTAATACATTATTATTATTGCAATTATTATTAAAATCAACATCCATCCATTATTGTTATTAAACATCCATCCATCCATTTTCTTTCCCAAAATTAGGACCAAACACATAGTTTAATCTTTAAGCCTCTTCCCAAACTCCGGAGAAGTTTCCTGACGGTGAAATCTCCCGTTCGTGTCTTCTACATTTACATTACAGCTCGCAGTTGCTTTTAAAACCCTTTGGTCTGCTTCTCTGGCGCTCGCACATTCCCAGACTCCTGTAACCTGGCTCTTTCTGTCCTCTTAAGCACATAGCGTTGCATTTTTACAATCCTGCATCGCTACTGTCACCGTGATCAAAGCCCGACTCCCTCTACCCACACTGCTTTACTGCGCTGCTACCTCAGCCTCAAACAATAACGACCAATAAAAAGATACTTAGAGCTGATAAGGCGCTGAGGCTGTGTTTCTGAGGACTTTAATTCAAGGGAAAGACAGAGATATAAAAGAGGATTTTGGAAAGAATGTCTGGGGCTGAGGAAGGCGGTGGGCACGCAGAGGCAGGGGCAGATTTATGACCCTGAGAATGACCTGCGTTTTCTCACAGACAACATGGAAAAGAGAGAGGAAGAGAGTGGGATTAAAGCTGGGGGACTTAGGTTTGGTTGCGTTAATAATACATGGAGTTTGTGGAACAGAAAGGGGCTTGTAAAAGGGTTGTGAACAAATTAGAGACAGAAAGAGGGATCAGAGAAAGAGCAGAGAAGAAGACCAGAGAGAGCGAGCCAAGAGAGACCAGAGAGAGAAACCAGTGAGAAACCAGAGAGAGGCCGGAGAGGAGAAGAGAGAGGAGGGGAGAGAGTCCAAATCCTTAAGGTCATTTCTGCGCTAAGGACAGGAGCCACACGGCAGAGGTGCTTTGGGGATTTCACTGCACGGTTCAAAAGAAGGGGAGAGAGGAGCGGGAGGAGAGGGAGAAAGGATTCCAAATTAAAAATGGACAAAGTCAGACCAGGACAAGTGAAAAAAACTGAAGGAAACCGCATTTAAATCCATATAATCACAGAGAGGAGAGAGGAGAGAGAAGAGAGAGAGAGGAGAGGAAAGAGAAGAGTTAGGAGAAAGAGGAGAAAGAAGTGAGGAGAGAAGGAGGGAAACTAAAATCCAGACTTTTAAACCGAGCTCTTAGAATAATCAATGACTCTTCTGGAAAAGCCTTGTTCCAGCTTCTTCCTTCTGGCAGAAGATATCGTTCGCTGAGATGCAGGACATCTCAGAATGCTGACAGCTTCTTCCCACAAGCTGTTATCAGTTTGAACAGAGCACTTTAAGGATCTTGCACTTGTATTGAAACTGTTTCAGTCGATCGATTTCACAGTGAGAATTGTTTACTGTATTGTTTGTTTTATTTCTGTACTTTTAATGTTGTTTTATGTATGTACTTATCTTGTGCACACTGGGGACTTTAAAAAAGGTATCCCAATGAGGTTTTGCTGCAAATCTAAATCCGGATAGCTAGCTTTAGCAACAAGACTGCCCCGGTACAGCGCAAAGCTAACACTGTCTCCATAAAAGCTAACACTGTGGTGATGTCACACTGCGGTGATGTCACACTGCGGTGATGTCACACTGCGGTGATGTCACACTGCGGTGATGTCACACTCCTGTACCTGCAGGTCTTTGATGTTGGGGAAGGGGATCCCGATGGTGACTACAGCTCTGGCGTTGTCGTCCGTAAAGTCCAGTCCCTCACTCACTTTCCCTCTGCAGACCGCGATTAGCAACGCTCCGTCTGTGAGAAGACACAGGATAACTATAGTCTTCACTAAATTGTCGATTCGCCAACAGCAGATTAGAAAATGTGATGATGAGAATGCATCAATGCTACCAACCAGTGGTGGTATACTCTTGATTTAAATAAAAAGATTTAACGATTTAAAAGCAGAAAGCAGGTCAGTCCATTGTGTCATAGATGTTTGACCTGTGAAGGAAAATAGTGTGACGACCTGGGAAAGAGAGACCAGAGAGAGACCAGATAGTGACCAGAAAGAGACAAGACAGAGAGAGACCAGATAGTGACCAGAAAGAGACAAGACAACAGAGAGACCAGATAGTGACCAGAAAGAGACAAGACAACAGAGAGACCAGAGAGAGGAGCCTCACCTCGGTGCTGTGTGTGCTTGATGGCCTCATAGTAGCTCTGCAGCAGATCATCAAAGTCTCCTTTCGCTCCTCCACGGGGTTCTGCAATCACCATCTTCAGAGTCTCCAGCTTCTCCCACAGACCGGTGTTTCCCCAACGGTCTCTCAGCTTGTCCAGCATCTGAGGGACACCAGGAGAGGGACATCAGCCACATAAATGAGCGGGACAAAGCAGTGGTCTCCAACCTTTTGGACACATTGAATACAGTCACATGTAGAGGTGCAACGGTTCATCACTGATCCGTGATCCGTTCGGTTCAACGTCTTCGGTTCGGTACAGACGTGTTTAATTTATGAAAAACAAAGTTGTGCGCACGTTGTTCAGTCCACACACAGCGCGGTCATTGCGAGCGGAGGAACGGAGATGCTTGAATGCCCCGCGTCATTTAAATCCCCTGTATGAGAGCATTTTGGCTTCACTGTAACTACACTGATATAGGAATGGGGCAATATGGCAAAAAAAAAAAATCTCCGATTTTTTCACACCAAATCCGATTTTCGATTTTAATCGATTTATTTTTTTCTATTTAAAAACAAACTACAACTGACAAAGAAATAGATTTTCCTTTATGCAGTTTAATCTAAATCCCCATGGAGCATAAGTGTAACAGGAATTAAGCCTTAAAACATGATTGTAAACGAGATGGCTCTGCCATTGTAAACAGTGAAAATGTAGCTTAACAGTTTTATAATAACTTCACTTACAATGACACTATGCACCTTCAAAAATTAAATCACACAAACAAGGCCCATCGCAAATATATCAATCCTATTAAACACATGCATTATTTACATGAAATATCACATTTTTAAAACTGATTACTCAAAATAGAAATGTTGTAACAGACAGTATTTTCCAAAAGCCTCCTCGGGTTTTCATGCTTGTTCTTTCAACTGTGCCTGAGTAACTGTGCTGTAGTACAACGCTCGGTCCAGCTGGTGGCGCTAATACTAACTTCAGTGACTCCCGCATTGTGCGAGCTTCCTGTTTACATTCTGATGCTGTAGCTAGCAGCTACTGTAGCTAGCAGACAGCGGGGAACACGTTGTTTGTATCAGAGCAATGAGAGCAATGTGTGAGGCGTGTCTTTCCCCAAAGTGCAGCGGCTCAGTGGGACACGAGTGTGTGCGCGCCACGGACACGGGAGTGCGCTTTGGAATAACGAGCGTGAGAGAGCGTGAAAGATGTGGCGTACGACCGGAGCCTGTGTGTGTGTGTTTTGGCGATTAAATAAAGTCTGATTCTTGAACGTTTGAAGTGTTATTGCAACAGCACCAACTGTGAGAGCGAGCATCAGGCCAGAGGGAGACTGTTAGCATTAGGTTAGCTTCAAAATGACTGCTCAACACCATAGACCCGCGGTTAGCGCGTTAGCGCTGTAGTTCTGCGCTGGAGAAAATAAAAATCGAATTTTTAAAAAAAGAAATCGCCCTAAACGTAAAACTCGAATTAATGATTAAAATCGATTAATCGCCCAGCCCAGTGACTGATAATTAATATTTGACAAAACTGTCACAGTGTGTAAATACTGTGGCACAAGAAAGACATGAGTGAAAAAAAGCGTCTCAACGTCCGCTTATTGTCGCAGCATTTAAGCAGCTCCTTTACGCACAGTCAGACCGGGCTAAAGTCAACTCTCCCGCGCATCCTCAGCTGCGCACACGACTGACGCTTGGACGTCCCGCGGAACCTATAACAGATCCATGAGCTCACTTCATCACCGCAGACTGGGAGATGAAAAGTCTGGCGCTGCAGACACGCCCCCTCTACGACAGTCACACAGCACAGGTACTGACACAAGCAGTGGGGGAATGGAAGACAAAGGCCCAGTACTAATATCCCAGTCACAATTGATAATGCCAAAAATTAAATAAATGCAGTGAATGAGGCTGGACTGGGCCCAGAATGGACCGCCTCCTCGGGAGAATCAGGAAGGTGGTTTAATATATAGGGTAAATACCCTCATAAAGTGCCTTCTTATGTTGCACTTTGTGTTGTTTTTCATTAATTATGTTAAATAGACATAATTGGATGGATGGAATATGCCTTCCATCCATCCATCCATTTCCTTCCCCTTATCCATTTCTAGGTCAGGGGGGGCAGTCAGAGCAGGTGCCGAGTCCACATGAGCTGTGTTTATTAAAAAGACAAAACTTTTTTCTTTTTTTTTAAATGAACCGAACCGTGGCCTCTGAACCGAGGTACGAACCGAACCGAGATTTTTTCAAACCGTTGCACCCCTAGTCACATGGAAAACCACCAGCTGAACCTGATGCTAACAATAATCTCTGCAGATAGGTCTTTGCAGGTACCACCACAGGACCAGAAAAATACCAGAGAGAGACCACTCACTCTGCTGACCGCTTTTATCAAAAATCAAACAAGTGTAAAAAGTCTTTTTAATCTTCTCACATTATTTTGACCAATTAGATAATGGATCATTAACAAAGGTCTGGGTCTCTCTCTTTCTGGCCTTTCCCTCTGGTCTCCCTCTCTCTCTCTGGTCTCTCTCTGGTCTCCACAGAGAGAGACCATCTCTGTGGTCTCTCTCTCCCCCCTCTCTCCTCTCCCATACAGAGAGATGAGGCAGTCTCCTCTCTCCTCACACTCTAAAGTTTGGTGCTGACGCTGGTCTTCTGGTTGACCTCGCTGACAGCTTTCCACGTCGCTGCTTCTCTGTGGTGGAGTTTATTCGAGTATGAGATTCGTGCAGAGGTCTCTTAGATCAATGTGGCTCCACAGGGACTCGGCTCTGACTGAGGCCCCGACAGGAGGCGCAGACACACAGATTCAACTACAGCGGCAGGAAAAACACGAACAGGCACTAACTTTTCTATTTACCTTATATAGAAGTCAAAAGGGCAGAGAGAGAGAGAGACCAGAGTGAGACCAGAAACACGCCAGAGAGAGACCCGACAAGAGCTACCAGAGACTAGAAAAAGACCAGAGAGAGGCTTTAACTTATATGGAAGTCAACGGCACACAGAGAGAGAGCCCAGACAAAGACCAGAGAGAAAGACCAGAGAGTGAGCACAGACTAGAGCAACCAGAGAGAGACCATAGAATGTCAACAGGGCACCATCGGTTCACATTTTTGTCTATAAGAGGGTAAAACATGCTTTCCGCCTGTAACGCCCTATGAGAGTGACCAGAGAGAGAGACTGTAGAGGGACTAGAAAAAGACTGGAAAGGGACCAGAAAGAGACCAGAAAAAGAGACTAATGAGAGAGTTGAGAGGGAGACTAGAGAGAGACCGGAGAGAGCGACCAGAGAGAAGCCAGAAAGATGAACTACAGCGTCTTGTCTCTGGACAAACTGTGACTCAAGTGTAAGTTGTTGTACTCTGAGATCATGTCCTGAAGGTTAACAGAGAGCAGTATGTCCTGGGGCTACAAAATCCAGGCCGACGGCATTAAAGAACCATGTAGATGTAGAAAGGAGGCAGAGAGGAAGCAGAGAGGAGACAGAAAGGATGAAGAGAGGGATTGGAGAGAGAGAAGAGAAAGGCCAGAGAGGCCCAAATGAGACCAGGAAGTAAGCGCAGGGAAAGAGAGAGACCAGAGAGAGACCAGATAGAGAAAAACAGCCATTATTTCCTGTTAGGAGTAGACTGGGGAAGATGAAAAAAGCTCTTCTTTATCAATTACTATCAATGACTATCAATGAATGTCTAGGTATGCAGCAGTTATACATATGAATACATCAATATTCTGAATCATTAAATAACCATGATGATGCAGAGAGGATGCAGAACTAACGAGGGACAAGGCTGGTGTGACATGTTGCAGCTCTGTGGTGGATTCCCAAAGCAAGTAGCTGAAATATTTATGTTATGTACAAACCTGTCACCAAAAGAAAAACCCATTATCTGCAGTGAGGAGTAGAATGTAGAAGATGATAAAAGTTCTTCTTTAATCAATTATTATCAATGTCTATGTAAGCAACAATTATACATATTCATAAATAATGTCCTTCAGACTGTTGTTGCAATAGTCCTGACAGCTCTCACTCTCTGGTGTCTCACTCTCTGGTGTCTCACTCTCTGGTGTCTCACTCTCTGGTGTCTCACTCTCTGGTGTCTCACTCTCTGGTGTCTCACTCTCTGGTGTCTCACTCTCTGGTGTCTCACTCTCTGGTGTCTCACTCTCTGGTGTCTCACTCTCTGGTGTCTCACTCTCTGGTGTCTCACTCTCTGGTGTCTCACTCTCTGGTGTCTCACTCTCTGGTGTCTCACTCTCTGGTGTCTCACTCTCTGGTGTCTCACTCTCTGGTGTCTCACTCTCTGGTGTCTCACTCTCTGGTGTCTCACTCTCTGGTGTCTCACTCTTTGGTGTTCACTCTCTGGTGTCTCACTCTCTGGTGTCTCACTCTCTGGTGTCTCACTCTCTGGTGTCTCACTCTCTGGTGTCTCTCTCTCTGGTGTCTCTCTCTCTGGTGTCTCTCTGGTGTCTCTCTCTCTGGTGTCTCTCTCTCTGGTGTCTCTCTCTCTGGTGTCTCACTCTCTCTCCGGTCTCTCTGTCTCTCTCTGGTCTCTCTCTGGTCTCCCTCTTGTCTTTCTCTTGTGTCAGCCCCATGTTTCTTTAATGATAATTCAAACTTCCAAACTTCAATAATTCATAATTCAAACTCCTCCACATGGTGACACCGTGGGGGCGACTGAACGCAATGGTAAGTGGATCCAGCCCGCGCCCGGACGTGTAAAGGATTACACTTGGTCTCTGTGTCCCTGGTCTCCCTCTGGTCTCTCTCTTACACTTGGTTGCGTGTGCACTGGTGTCTGTGCCGGGACTTCGCAGCTGGTGGCGTTAGTAGAAAGGACGATACATAATTGAGTGAGAGTGCGCCGCTGTTGTGCTAAATGCTGCTCGTCCCCATTTGTGTTCCCCAAAGTCACACGCCGACGCAGAGACTCACATGTTTACTAAGGTCTCTAAGAGTCTGAGCATAAAGAGCTTTAGACCAGAGTTACACAGGGAATCAATAGCTTTAGGGTTTCTCTTTCTCTCTAGTCTCTCTTGTCTCTTACTCATCTCTCTCTCTTGTCTCTCTCTCGTCTCTCTTACTATTCTCTCTCTCGTCTCTCTCTTCTCTCTTATTAGTCTCTCTCTCTCTCTATCTCT